GTCTGTCCTGGAACAACAGACTGAGATCCAGGAGACTGAGTCAGGATGATTTCTCCTGATGAACCTGGAAAACATGAAAAAGAGCTGAAGGGTTATTGAGACAAATCCAGTTTGGAGAAAGATGATCAACATCCAGACAGAAGAGTATCATTTCTTTAACATGGAGAACAGATGGAAGAAGGTAAATGCTGCTTGTTTCAGTGTTTCTCCATCATAGCAGAACATCATTGAGGTGAACCTGATTGCATCCTGAAGCAAAATTTTCAGAAGAGAGTCTCACCCTGAACATGGAGCCCCAGGGTGGCCAGCAGTAGAATCAGTGACATCATCATTGTAAGAAAGTCTGTTATCTGTTCTCATTGTTATAAGTGTTTGCAAGCCCCCTCTGTAATTGTGAGTTTTTCTGACTTGCTGTAGTTTGATCCTGGCGCACTTGCCGTAGTTGATGATGTCATACCTCGTTAAGGCTAGACCCATGCACATTTTCCATGGATGAGCAGCTGTGGTTGCCTGTTGTGTGCGTTCATGCACAAACGTGAGTCTCAAACTCTTTTGCTAATGGTAGACCACTCAGTATTGTTGGTATTATCAGCCCTGTAATCGTTCTTTGAGTGCTTTCTGTTTTTTCTGGGTTTAATGCATCATTTTCTTGGTACATGGTTCAGAGCATGTGGACAGGGTGACATATTTCTTGCTAATATAGCCTATTTGCCTTTATATTTTGATCTTATGAGTGTCATACATGATGAATGTGCCTATGGGGTTTGGTAACTTGTTGATTCTTTGATAACTGTGTACATAAGGACATGTCCTCATTATTTTAGCGGCATTTCGCCATGTGGCCGTTTCTAGTACTGCAGTGACGCCATTTTGCCAATAGAGGGCACTGTTGACCACAGAATCATTCATTATGGCCAGTAATTGAGGTGCAATGTATGTCCAGTTAATTTAGTGTGTAAACCAGGGTGTTTAGATGCAAATTGAACAGTCCATTTTTGATTAATTATTTAAAAGGAATAATATGTTTTTGATTTATATAAAATAATGTCATTGAAGATTGATACTATATGTTATTTCTTCTGTTTCCTTTAGGACCACACACACACACACACACACACACCCTCACCTGTATCCACAATACCTTGTGCTCATCCCTGACCTGTAATTGCCCACTGTGATCATTTAAAGTTTTTGGATTGAACGCTCCCTGCCCTACTCTCTGATCGGAGTCCCTGGCCTTAAAGCAACTATCACGCCAGCATCCTAGAGATACTATCTCTGTCACAATCATGGTGCTGTCAGCGTGTCAGTGGCTCTGAAAGGCCTGGACAGCCACTGATCAACACTGGTCTCTTAACAGCTGGGAGCAGAGAGGCAGGACACATATGCAAACACACAGAGTCAGTCAGCTGTAGCTGGCCTCTGGTCCACTGTCTCCTCCCTGACCCTGCTCTTTATATTGTGGCAATGAAGATTAAAAACTACGTACAAAGCAATAGTGAGCACAAGTTTTGCGCAGAAATTAAGGAGTGGGATTTTTCCTCGCATGAAACTAGCTAGCAAGCGATTTAACATAGGTACAATAACATGAGTGTTCTTGTTAACTACCTTAACTTGATATATCATCTATTAATTAGTCATCATTTAGCTAACATTATCTACATACAACAGCATTACTCAACTTACAGGGTTTGTTTGGAAGAAACTGTGCAAGGTTTTTTGCTTCTTGCTGGCTGGTTTGCTGAACATAGTTAACACACAGCAGCACTGCTCAGCAGCACACCTCTTGTCTCTGCGATTGATTCTGATCACAACATGACAGCATGTGTATGCGCCTGGCGCCATCTACTCATGGCACATTTAAAGACGGTTCGGAAAAATACGTTACCACATGTTAAAAACAAATTGAACGGTGGTAACAGCTGTAAAAAGTGCGGGGGACATGTCCCATGCGTACCCTGTGTCTACTACGCCCATGCCATAAAGCAAGTTCCACAGAGTCAGGTTCTCTTTGTCTGAGCTGGATCTACAAACCTTAAAACCTCAGTCTGAGATAACAGGTACCATGAAGGTGGTTATCAACTGTCTCTGTTCACCCAGGCTGTCTTATTTAGGCTCTGTATGTGCTCACATTAAACAAGTCAAATGATGTAGTGAAAGAGGGGTATTTCCATTAAAATTATCATTACTTCACAAGTTAGTATATTTATTTCACCACTCAGTTTATTTCTGATGTGACAGCCACACATTATACAGCTCTGAAACATTTAACATGATGCAGCAGATTTAATTTAGTTTGTAAATTAATCATCAATGTAGAAGTACATTGATGATTTTATGTTTTGAAATCACACTGCTGATACTGACACTTTGATGAAACAATATGCTGATGATAACCAACTTTATAATTTGAATGCAATAAATTCTTCTCAGACTTTGCAGTTTGCTGAGAATTACTTTCTGGACATTTCTGAAACCCTTAAACACAACCCAATGGCACACTTCATGTATGATGTGCACACAGTACAACTGATTTGCCATAAAATGTCTGAACATTCATGATATGAAAAACCAAACTTGTAGCTAGCATAATGAAGCAAAAGTTTTAAGGAATCTGAAATAATGACTGAATATACTTTTATCGTGTCTGGGTCACATAAATCTGATGCCTTTGTTTTTGTTTTCAAAATAGCATCTTATGATATTACTTCATAGTTTTTCTCTTTAGACAGACAAGCAATTTTAAGATCACACACTCAGTTAATTTCAATCTCTCTGGATTTAATTGAACCCCTAAGACAGCAATGCCTGTTTGTTTTACAGTAACGCACATGAAAACAACTGATTTGATGAAAATGTCTTTATGGTGTTAAAGTAATCAAAATTTAAACAAGCAACAAAGTTTTATTAATGAAACATGAAATTAGACTGTGTGAGCTACAGAAAAAAAAAAACAGAGAAAAAGAAAGAACAGTATTGCTGAGTGCAGACTGAGAGCATTAGCAGAGTAAAACCAGCAGCAGAGTCCCAGTGAGTCAGGTCAGGACTGGCAACACTGGTCTCTCCTCAGTGTCTCTGAGAGTGGAGTCTGGGAGCCCTGGGTGGCCTCACAGGTCACAGAGCCCACCTTCCTCCACTGGTCTGCAGGGAGCCTCAGGGTGCTGCTCCAGCTGTAGAGGCCGTCCTTCTCCAGCACCCCAGGGCTCCTGCTCTCCTCCCAGCTGCTGCTGCTGCTGCTGCTGCTGCTGCCGTCCACCTTCCAGGCCAGACTCCAGTCTGAGGGGAAGCCCTTGTTGGCCAGACACATGAGCGTGGCCTTCCCCTGCTGCAGCTCCTCACTGGAGGGGGTCAGCACCGTCAGGGTGGGACGGACATCACCTAGGAGACACCAATCAGCTTAGAGGACAGGGACCACACAGCTGTCAATCAACCATCAGACACTTGGACACCTTTACTGTATGAGAGTTGATTTTCTCCTTTCCTCCTCTCCTAGTTATCACTGAGGTGGAACATTAAGAATATAATCTTGATAAACATTTGTAAAACTGGTTTGCAGTTTTATTTTTTTTACATTTCAACCCGTTTGACTTAAAATATGACGGAAATGTACAAAGAAATGTTGATTAAAACTGCTCTGACTTCAAACATAAAAATTAAGTTTTACTTTTAAAATTAAAACATTTTTATCTACTGCAGACATTACAAAACTGATTTCTAAACTTAACTTTAAACTCTAGTATTTGTGCAGAAACTTACATCCAACATCCAGTCTGGTTCCTCCACCAAAAGTCCACCACAGTGATACAAACTCATTGAGCCGCCGTACAAAAACCTCTCACTGTAGAGAGACACGGCTCTCTGACTTTGACACAAACAAACTCACCAAAAATATTCCCAGTTTACCCAGATTGTGTAATAACTGGTTTAACTGTTTAGAGACTGATTCACAAACTTTGAATATATACACAACATTTTCTATGTGAAACTTCAAACATCTACAAGCAGTATTAATTTCTCCTCCAGTAAAACAAATTCAAATAAATGTAAAAATTCCAAAGGAAAACTGTCCTATAAATCCTGCCATTAATAATCCTGATATATATAATTATCATGAACCTATGTTTATTGTAGATTATGATAAATGAAAATACATTTTGTCTGAATACATCCCACAGTGATGGTGATTTGTGTGGCTGTGAATAAGTGGGAATTCATCATAATATTCTGCAAGTAAATCAACTCATCCAACTCAAACCAAAGCTTTTTATAAAAAGGAAGTAACACATTCCTAATCAATACTCTGGTAAAGTGATTGATCCATTGATAGTCAGCATCATCAGAGTAATCCAAGTCCCTGTTGGAGTCAGTCAGAGCATTTCCATAGAGAGCCACTTTGCATCAGCAGCACCATGCTCCAGTGCTCTGGGAGAGTTTATAGTCCTGAGAGTTGAACACTGGATGACTGACAGCTGTCCTTCATGACAACAGAAGCCACAGAAATCCTCCTCATCAAAAACATGACTTTGATCTCCGTCCTCATCTGGACTCTCCTCTGCTGCTGCTTCACAGGTAAAGTCCAGAGAATCAAACTCCTCTCCTCTATCAACATCTGTCCCTCTGAAATGAAGCTGACAAAACCATGATGCTGCTTTATGTTTGTGTCTCTGTATCCTCAGAGTCCAGAGGTCAGGTCACAGTGACTCAGTCTGGAGCAGTGAGCTCTGCTGTGGGAGGCTCTGTCACCATCACATGTAGGACCAGTCAGAATGTTTATAACTCTAACCGCTTAGCCTGGTACCAACAGAGAGATGGAGAAACTCCTAAACTGCTCATATACTCTGCCAGCACTCGAGCATCAGGGATTCCAGGTCGTTTTACAGGCAGTGGATCAAACTCTGACTTCACTCTGACCATCAGTGGAGTCCAGACTGAAGATGCAGCAGTTTACTACTGTCAGAGTGGACACTACATCAACAGTCAGTGGTTGTTCACACAGTGAAAAAGCGTCGTACAAAAACCTCCCTCAGTCAGACTGAACAGAAACTGAACTGACTGCTGCAGCTGGAAGCTACTGCAGAGACTGATACACTTCACTGAGGACACACACACATACACACACACACACACAGGCCCAAAATACACACACATACACAAACAGGACCCATACATATGCATTAATCGGGAGATGAGGGGACTGTCCATGGATAAGTGCCCGAAGCAGTCGAGGCTTTGGTACCTTGCTCAATGACAGCTCTTCAGCTCCCAGTCCCCACTCCGTGTTCAGTCGGTACAGGCACTTGAACTGGGGACCCTCTGGTTCCCAAGCCAAGTCCCAACAAACTGAACTCCTGCCACTCATGTAAATGTAAACAGGCTTTATATGACCTGGAATTATAAAAATACAAAAGACGTCATTGACACTTTAACTATATCTACACATATATGTGTAGATATAGTTATACACATATGTGTATGTGTGTTACATAAGTGTCAAATCTGCTGGCAGACACTAAGAGACAGAGACTGTCCTTTGATCTCTCTCATGTCATGTCCTTTGTTGAAGTTACTCTGTCTCATTTAAATGTGATTTGGTGGAAAATCTCAAATTAGATTCATGTTATGTGACTTTTTGCAGATGATACACTGTTCCTCTTATTATTAAGAGCTTTGAATTAAAATCTGCACAATAATTTATAGGCAGAATTTAACAACACACAAACTTAACTGGAGAAATTTCTTCCAGGACAGACATCAGTAATAACAGAGAGCTTTGGGTTTTACTATTAGAAATGTCTTACCATGTGTATTGTTACCAAAATAAATTGATTGATCTATCATGGGAACTGCAGTAGAAGATTATCCACAGTCTGAAAAAGTATTCTGAAAAATAAAGACTCATTACTGTTGTGGCTTTTGTGCATTAGTTTGAGTAATGCTCCTAATATATAACATATGTCCAAGAAATGAAGTCACATGACGAAACTCATATGATACATTTGATCAAATCTTTATTGCTTTGAGATATTGAAACCATCAACACAAGCAAGAACATGTTCACACTGAAACGTCATGAGAGAGACAGAGAGCAGACTGAGAGCAGTAGCAGAGTAAAACCAGCAGCAGAGTCCCAGTGAGTCAGGTCAGGACTGGGAACACTGGTCTCTCCTCAGTGTCTCTGAGAGTGGAGTCTGGGAGCCCTGGGTGGCCTCACAGGTCACAGAGCCCACCTTCCTCCACTGGTCTGCAGGGAGCCTCAGGGTGCTGCTCCAGCTGTAGAGGCCGTCCTTCTCCAGCACCCCAGGGCTCCTGCTCTCCTCCCAGCTGCTGCTGCTGCTGCTGCTGCTGCTGCCGTCCACCTTCCAGGCCAGACTCCAGTCTGAGGGGAAGCCCTTGTTGGCCAGACACATGAGCGTGGCCTTCCCCTGCTGCAGCTCCTCACTGGAGGGGGGCAGCACCGTCAGGGTGGGACGGACATCACCTAGGAGACACCAATCAGCTTAGAGGACAGGGACCACACAGCTGTCAATCAACCATCAGACACTTGGACACCTTTACTGTGTGAGAGTTGATTTTCTCCTTTAAGGAGTTTCTGTCAGATGGTTTTTCTGCTCCATCAGTCACTCACTCACACATTGTTTCACTTCCCTTTAAGAAGCCTCTCATGCAAATCAGCACAGAGAGAATCATCATACAGAATGACCTCAAATATATCAAACTGCACTGGACAGAAAATATCAGAATTTAGACAAATTATTAAACGTTTTCCTTCCAAACATTGACGATACATTACTTTAGTAAAATGCATTTTACATTTTTTTTTGTGCATAAAAAATGCATGTATTACTGCACTACCTACAATCAAATGTTCTTTATGTTGATGTCAATTCTCATTAAAACTGTTCAAAACATTTTCAAAATTTGAAACCACATGAATCAATCACCGTTAGTTTATTCCTAAAAAGTTGATTCTCAATTTATTAGAAAAAAATAGTAATCACTGAGGTTGAACATTAAGAAAATACTCTTGATAAACATTTGTAAAACTGGTTTGCAGTTTTTTTTTACATTTCAACCTGTTTGACTTCAAGTATGATGAAAATGTACAAAGAAATGTTGATTAAAGCTGCTCTGACTTCAATAACATAACATAAATACTGCAGACATTACAAAACAGACTTCTAAACAAAACTTTAAAACAGTTTATCTAGTATTTGTGCAGAAACTTACTTCCAACATCCAGTCTGGTTCCTCCACCAAAAGTCCACCACAGTGATACAAACTCATTGAGCCGCCGTACAAAAACCTCTCACTGTAGAGAGACACGGCTCTCTGACTTTGACACACTGAAGTAAACCTACAAGCCCTCAAGATGAAACTTAACCATTAAAGTAAGAAATAAAGATTTATCTTCTAGCTTCATGTTTTATTTTCATTACAATGGACTTTTGATTTTCTCATTCAAAAGCTAACTTTGTCTTTTAATGCAAAATATGTCTAAAAACAAAATGGAAAGGCAGCTACTATTTCTTGCCTGTTAAATATATAATATAAAGAAAACATGGCTGCTGAAAAAATAAACATTTTAAACATCTGACTTACTTCCAACATCCAGTCTGGTTCCTCCACCGAACGTGTACCACAGTGATACAAACTCATTGAGCCGCCATACAAAAACCTCTCACTGTAGAGAGACACGGCTCTCTGACTTTGACACAAACAAACTCACCAAAAATATTCCCAGTTTACCCAGATTGTGTAATAACTCGTTTAACCGTTTAGAGACTGATTCACAAACTTTGAATATATACACATTTTCTATTTGAAACTTCAAACATCTACAAGCAGTATTAATTTCTCCTTCAGTAAAACAAATTCAAATAAATGTAAAAATTCCAAAGGAAAACTGTCCTATAAATCCTGCCATTAATAATCCTGATATATATAATTATCATGAACCTATGTTTATTGTAGATTATGATAAATGAAAATACATTTTGTCTGAATACATCCCACAGTGATGGTGATTTGTGTGGCTGTGAATTAGTGGGAATTCATCATAATATTCTGCAAGTAAATCAACTCATCCAACTCAAACCAAAGCTTTTCATAAAAAAATGAAGTAACACATTCCTAATCAATACTATTGATACTATTGAATATCCATTGATAATCAGCATCATCAGAGTAATCCAAGTCCCTGTTGGAGTCAGTCAGAGCATTTCCATAGAGAGCCACTTTGCATCAGCAGCACCATGCTCCAGTGCTCTGGGAGAGTTTATAGTCCTGAGAGTTGAACACTGGATGACTGACAGCTGTCCTTCATGACAACAGAGGCCACAGAAATCCTCCTCATCAAAAACATGACTTTGATCTCCGTCCTCATCTGGACTCTCCTCTGCTGCTGCTTCACAGGTAAAGTCCAGAGAATCAAACTCCTCTCCTCTATCAACATCTGTCCCTCTTAAATGAAGCTGACAAAACCATGATGCTGCTTTATGTTTGTGTCTCTGTATCCTCAGAGTCCAGAGGTCAGGTCACATTGACTCAGTCTGGAGCAGCGACCTCTGCTGTGGGAGACACTGTCACCATCACATGTAGAACCATTCCAAAGGTTCATTTTGGAGGCACTTATCATGAATTAGCCTGGTACCAACAGAGAGATGGAGAAACTCCTAAACTGCTCATATACTTTGCCAGCACTCGAGCATCAGGGATTCCAGGTCGTTTTACAGGCAGTGGATCAAACTCTGACTTCACTCTGACCATCAGTGGAGTCCAGACTGAAGATGCAGCAGTTTACTACTGTCAGAGTTTTCATGTCATCAACAGTCAGTACGTGTTCACACAGTCAGTCGGGCTGAACAGAAACTGAGCTGACTGCTGCAGCTGGAAGCTACTGTAGAGACTGATACACTTCACTGAGGACACACACACACACACACACACACACTGTGCACACATAGTTCTCATTTTTCTTATTTGATTGATTTGCCAGTTAATAAAGAGGAAACAAGCTCAGACAGTAAATTAGAAAAGACTTGGTCACGACCTTTGACCTCAGCTTCATCCTGGATCACAGCCATTTCAAATCTGTCCAGTTACAAGAAAACATTGACACACAGAGCAGCATTAAGAAATATTCATGATAAAATGTAGTCCAAACAAAACTTATGAATGAATGAATGAATGAACTTTCTTTAATCTCTGCTTCACATAAGACTTTTCTTCTTTATGCAAATAAAACCTATAGAGTGCTTACCTGGCTATACTTTGCAACAAAAGTCATCTTCATCTTAAGTTAACCTTATGGGCCCTAGGCGTTTTTTGGGGTATTTTTACTTTTAAGCTCATATCACAGTCATTATAAAGGCTACATACACATGCTATATCTTGTGTGGTTTTTTTTTTCCAGGACAATCTGGGCTAACCAGATTTGCCATCATTTTATGTCCTATGTGCCTGTATTTTATATTAATTTTTATATCAATGAAAAAAAACAAATCCATGTGACTAAATTCTTCTATTTTTACATGTACCTCACCATAGCAAGTTGGAAAATGACATTCTTCCATATATGAAGAGGGGAGAGACTCTGGAATCTGGCAATATAAGAACCATGATGGTGGGACATTCTGTCACTTCACACAAAACATGTGGCTTGTGCCAGGCAGACATGATTGCCAGTATTTTTTCATTATTGCAAGAAATTCCATTGACTCATTCACAAGTCAAAAATGTGTTTTACCTGAAAGAAACATGCAATATTTACATCTAAGATCATAGAAAAATAGTCAACCAAGTGCAATGATGTCCTCCAAGATAATATTTGCCACTTTGTTTGGAGTAAACAAAGTTTGCTGTTGTTGGTGGGGGGGCACGTGTCCCCCTCAATGTATATGGTGACTACGGCCCTGTCCTGCATGCATAATTAGGCTACAGTTGTCTGGGTGCGCAAAGGTGAAGTGGCTGGTCTTGTCATACAAAGTTTGATGGAGTGTCAACTGGACAATATGGAGATATTTGCATCTTGAAAGCCGGACGACAAATGTTGATAGACAGGGAGAAACACAAGCCTAAGGCGTGGTAAGATACAATATTCTTCACTATATGAAGTAACTGATAACAAGATCTGTATAATGGATAAAGAAATTCATCAGGTTTTATTTTGTAGACAATCAATCTGTATTTACAGCGTGATGGGATGACAGCACAATGATGTGTGTGGTATCACATGACAGCTCTGCTCCTGCTCTTTCATGTGATATGCATGGCATTTCTGTGTGAGCCTGCATTCGCGAGTAATCCATCCAACAGTAATGTGTGTGCAAAGCTGTATGAAAGCTCTGTTATTCATGATTTTAGTGTAACTTTATCATTTTTTTTCGCTGTGAAAACATTGGACTACGGACAAGTGCTTGGTCTTGTCGGAAAGCTATGGTTCTGCTGTGACACGAGATATGCGTGGCTTCTTGCTATGACATGGTTGCGGAGAAAATCAATAGAGAAGAACAGGTGTGAATTTGGACGCACTACGCGTTGTTCGGGCCCATAGGGTTAAGACACACCAGCACAACATTGTACAATGTGTCTTGACTGGAAAATACAGAGGTGGATCAGACACTTCAAATGCTGCTCAAGAGTCAATGCCTTATCAAAAGTGACACCTACATTTCTGAGGGAAGATTGAACAGATGATAAAATTGAAATATCTGAACACTCTAACATTGAAACTTTTATAAGATGTAAGAAACAAATCAGCATATAAAGCATCTTCTTAAAGTAACACCATAGTAAAATCATCTTTTAGACCGACGATGTTCAATTATACATGAAGAGCAGCTCATCTGTTCACTTACTGTAGACTTTGGTATATACACTTTCTCAGAAGTGTTTAAATTAATATTGATCTCATTGCTAAAATAATTTTGGGTGATTATTTTTTTCTCCTTCACACCTAAAGAACAAAAGAACACTGTAGATGTTAAATCATACTCACAAACAGAATCAACTTTATTATGTGGAGGAAGCAAAATAAAATTATCTGTGACAAAATTTTTCTATCCTTTCATACCCTATTATGTAGTGAACCATTGAAATAAACTATGCTGTCACCACTGTGTGATAAACACCATGATATGTTGAGGACAGCTACAGCTGACTGACTCTGTGTGTTTGCATATGTGTCCTGCCTCTCTGCTCCCAGCTGTTAAGAGACCAGTGTTGATCAGTGGCTGTCCAGGCCTTTCAGAGCCACTGACACGCTGACAGCACTATGATGATGTCACTGATTCTACTGCTGGCCACCCTGGGGCTCCTTGTTCAGGGTGAGACTCTCTTCTGAAAACTTTGCTTCAGGATGCAACCAGGTTCACCTCAATGATGTTCTGCTATGATGGAGAAACACTGAAACAAGCAGCATTTACCTTCTTCCATCTGTTCTCCATGTTAAAGATATGATACTCTTCTGTCTGGATGTTGATCATCTTTCTCCAAACTGGATTTGTCTCAATAACCCTTCTGCTCTTTTTCATGTTTTCCAGGTTCATCAGGAGAAATCATCCTGACTCAGTCTCCTGGATCTCAGTCTGTTGTTCCAGGACAGACTGTCTCTATCACATGTAAAGCCAGTTCAGATATGAGCACCTACCTTCACTGGTACCTTCAGAGACCTGGAGTCTCCCAAACTTTTAATTTATTATGCTACAACTCGTCAGTCTGGTGTTTCAGATCGTTTCAGTGGAAGTGGATCTGGGACTGACTTCACTCTGACCATCAGTGGAGTTCAGACTGAAGATGCAGGAGTTTATTACTGTCAGCAGCATAACAGCCGCCCGTTCACACAGTGATACAACGTCATACAAAAACCTCCTCACTTGGAGAGGAATTGATCTGACTCAACAGCTGCACAGACACTGAAACACTAGTTATATATTAATACTTGTAATGATGGTTGTTGCGTAAATGAGATACATACAAAAAAGTAAGACAGTAAGAAATATAGATTGTGTAATATTAACACAACTAATAAATGCATTTATTAAAATTAATTATAATTCTCTCCAAGTTAAATAAAAACACAACAAAATCAATTTTAATTCAACTTTTTAAGTTAAAAGTTTTAAAGTTATATTTAAGTGAAACACACTGAGAGGTTTCCAACAAACTAAGACTTGTTCCAATGACACATGAAAACAGAATGTAGTACAATAAGACATTAGCAGTTCCATCAGTTTCATTTTATTTAAGATTGAGTGTTTTATGTAGATTCAATGCACCCACGTGTAGACTTTGAAAAATGTGAAAAATGTTATTTTTATATACTCTTTATTTTTCTCATTGATGGGGTTTTAATTTCAGATCTCGATATCTTTTTAGTTCAAATCTTTGTAAATGTATTTTTAGGACTGACTATATTGTATTGATGCAAATGAATGTTCATGAAATAGGAATCCTCATTCACCTCAGGGTGAAGATATACCTGGGTGACTTTACATGAAATGTTTAATGTTTTAAAAAAAAAATCAGCAACACCAGCATTAAATATTTGACATAAGAACATCATTAAAGAACCATGTTATATCATCTTAGGCTGATGATAATCTACAATTTGCTTCTAATCTTTAAAACTCTATTAAGTCATTTAGATTTAACACATTTTAAAATAATTTCATCAAAATGACCCTGGTCCATAATAATACTGCTAAACACAGACACTGTCAGATGAACCTCAATGACTTAGTGGATAAGTGCCGTTACATGATTCAAGAAGTCATTAGTAAAACCATCACCAGCAGTGAGAAAAACTAACTGTGACATGAGTTATAATCTTGTATCTTTTAACACGTAGGGGAAGGGAACTGTTGCAATAACAATATTCAGATGTTTTTTAATTTGCTTATGTTTTATTATACAGCATTAACAGCATAAGCACTATGACAAGAATAAAAACATTGCTGTTTCAAGGTCAAAGCTGTTAAATTGGTCTCATGATAGAAACACAGAGAGCAGACTGAGAGCAGTAGCAGAGTAAAACCACTTCACTTCCTTTTAAGAAGCCTCTCATGCAAATCAGCACAGAGAGAATCATCATACAGAATGACCTCAAACATATCAAACTACACTGGACATAAAATATCAGAATTTGGAAAAATTCTTTCTTATCCAAAACCTTGACTAACCATTACGTATTAATGGCATATTTAGTGGAAACAGAACCAAAAGTAGAAATTAAACAGATAACAATCAAATGTTCTTCATGTGGATTTCAGTCATCATTAAAAAAAGTGTTAAAAATATTTTCAAAATCTAAAACACTAGATGACATAACTGATTCTGAATGTGTTCTAAAAACAGGTATTATTTAGGAGGAACATTTAGATATAATATCAGAAAACATTTGAAAAACAGGTTTGCAGTTTTATCATCTTTATATTTCAAGCTTTTTTTTAAAAATCCCAGTGTGATGGAATTTTGTGAAGCCACTGTGAGTTACTCTCCATGGTTAAGGAGGAGAAATAAAAATATGAATAACAAACTGAACAAAACGAGTTTCTTTTAATCTATTGCAAATATTACAAATCAGAATTTAAAACATAACAGTATGGTATCTAGTATTTGTGAAGAAACTTACTTCCAACATCCAGTCTGGTTCCTCCACCAAAAGTCCACCACAGTGATACAAACTCATTGAGCCGCCATACAAAAACCTCTCACTGTAGAGAGACACGGCTCTCTGACTTTGACACACTGAACTAAACCTACAAGCACTCAAATGCAATTTTCCAATTTAAGTTGGAAATAAGGATTTATCATCTAGTTTAATTTATTTTCTGTCCAATGACCTTTTGATTTTCTATTTCAAAATCAGTCTGTCTTTCAGTGCAAAATATTTCTGTAAAATTAAATAATTATATAGAAGTTCCACAGTGCTGAGTATAAAGGCAGGAAAAAAGCTCTTCAATAAAAACAGGTTTTTGAAAGTTTGACTTACTTCCAACATCCAGTCTGGTTCCTCCACCGAACGTGCACCACAGTGATACAAACTCATTGAGCCGCCATACAAAAACCTCTCACTGTAGAGAGACACGGCTCTCTGACTTTGACACAAACAAACTCACCAAAATCAGTCTCTGTTTGTAAGACCTTGCCAAAAACATGAAAACTGACAATAACACAGAGCCACAGAATTCCAGAATGCATGTTTTTGATATGTTTTTTAATTTCAAATGCAACTTTTCTTAATTTTCTCCAGCAGTTAAAATAATAATAAAATAATACAAAAGATTTTAGACTTGATAAGATTAGAATGATGTCACTGGCAACCTGCACAGAATTTGTATTTCGCTTCTAGTGCACCAAAGGTAGATACAATGCACACAGCACACCTTTAAAAACATACAGAGTTTACAGCATACAATATACAGTTGTGCAAATGGATGAGGTAGCAGAAAATAAGTTCTATAAATAATGCAAGAAAGCAATTCTTATTAAATAAATGTTCCCTGATGCAGCTGTTCTGTGTTCAATGCCTGCATGGAACAGGGAATAAAAGACTTTTTGAAATGTTCCAGCTGGCCCTTAGGTGCCTAAATCAAACATTTTGAAACAAAAGTTATCAAGTTGTAAAACATATATCAAATTGGTATGGAGATATTTCTAACTACGCTCTGATAAATATATTGATCCATTGATAGTCAGCATCATCAGAGTAATCCAAGTCCCTGTTGGAGTCAGTCAGAGCATTTCCATAGAGAGCCACTTTGCATCAGCAGCACCATGCTCCAGTGCTCTGGGAGAGTTTATAGTCCTGAGAGTTGAACACTGGATGACTGACAGCTGTCCTTCATGACAACAGAAGCCACAGAAATCCTCCTCATCAAAAACATGACTTTGATCTCCGTCCTCATCTGGACTCTCCTCTGCTGCTGCTTCACAGGTAAAGTCCAGAGAATCAAACTCCTCTCCTCTATCAACATCTGTCCCTCTGAAATGAAGCTGACAAAACCATGATGCTGCTTT